ATTATCTTTTGATTTCATTTTTGACAAAAGTTTCGAAAATGCAAATCAGGAACAGCAACAGCAGCAGCAGCGGAAGCAGCAAAAGGAAAAGCATTATATATGGTCTCTGTCAGCAATTTTAAGCCTTGCAGCAGAGCTCAGCCCACAGGTGAGCCAGCAGAGCCCAGCGAAGCGGCGATGGCAGCAGAACAAGGCGTTTCTATATTTCAATACAGCTGCGTTTGCATTTAAAGTGGAACCAAAAGTTGAAAGTGTGTGTGTAGGCGTAGGTATAGCTATAGGTGTGTGTGTGTGTGAGTGTGTGTGCGTGTGAATAAAGGACACGTGAGCAGCTGAGCATAAGCCAGCGCCAGCGCCAAAGCCAAAGCCAAAGGTAAAGCCAGCAAAGGCCAGCTTGAGTCCATTATTAAGTTTCTCTGTAAGTGTGTGTGTGTGTGTGTGTGTGTGTGAGGGCATGTGTGTATATGTGTGCGTGTCTGTAAAGTTATTAAAAGCATTCAAAACATTTCGGCAGCTGACGCTGGGTCCCTTGTCTGCGTGGGCTGCGCTGGGCGTTGCTGGCATGGGGGCGTGTCATTTACATAACTATATGGCTTATACAAACATGAAATGCCGCCGCCTGCCCTGACACGAATATCTCTACCCGTTGCCCCCGACACCTACGCCTACCCCTGCCCTACCCCTAGCCCTACCCTATCATCTACCTGGGTAGAGGTAAATGCTCTACAATCTAACATAACCGCAACAAATTACCAATGAACAGCTAAAAACAACAAATTGTTTTGTTGTTGTTTGTTATTGTTGTTGTTGTTTGTTATTTGTTAACTGTTGTCCATGTTGTTGTTGTTCTTGTTGTTGTTATTGTCGGAAATGAAGCAAATAAAAGTTGTTCAAGCATATCCATGGCCCATTGTTAGAACTCTGACGGACAAGCGATTAAAATAGACCCCGATATAAATGATAATTTTATACGTTTCAATATGGCTTTGTAATCGGAACAATAAAGTTGTCATCAAAATGTAAAGGAAGATGCAAATTTAAGAGATACAAATAAGGGAGCTTTAGCTGGGGATAAAATACCAGCATATTCCTGTTGAGGAGCTGTATATATAATCTTTTTTTTTCTTCACCATTCCTTATCTTCTATCTTTAGATAAGATATCTTCTATCTGCTTATTTCCCATCTACAATATTTCATCTTTTATCGTCTCCATTTTCCTTTATCCTACATTCTATATTCTCCCTATCCTCTATCCTTTATGATCAATACTCTACCCTCAATATTCAATACTATATCCACTCTTCCCTATTCTCTTTACACTATCCACTATTCTTTATCCTTTATCATCTATCTTTTATCTTCAATCTTCTAGTTTGCTGATATAATATTCTTCGCCTTCTTCCCATTTTCGATCCTCGGGTCTCCATTTGCCATTCGCTTCCTCTCTTTCCTTCTTCCCTCTTCATGCCTCTATCCACTCAATTTTCAATCATCCACCTCTCTGTTGTGAATTAAGCCCGCTTTAAATGACCTTTCGCAAAAGGTGAAACTTGTTTTTTGCCATTTCAAGATATGTAACATAAAATTGAATATTTATGGCAACATGAACCACGCGCCCACTGGCAAGGGAGGGGAGTCGGGGCACCAAGGGACACTCGGGGTCATATGCATGGAAATTATTGGTGTCAGTCTGTGTTGCACTTGTGGCAGTTGAGAGCAGTTTTCATTTGATTTCCATGTGCGGTCGCCACACAGGGCAAACGAACATGAATGTTTATGTTGCCAACAAGTTCTGACGGTTTCTGCAATTGTAAAGCCATCAGCACACACGAACACACGTGAAAACGGATAGGAGGATGGCGTCATATTGCCACAGCAATGCAGTAGCAGCTGCTGCTGCTGCTGAGCTAACGTTTGCCAACTTGTTGCCGTGTGCCGCAGCTGCTGTTGATGCTGTTGATGGTGATGCTGCTGCTGCGGCTGCTGCAATTTTGCGGCTACGTTAGCTATTGCTTTATGGCCTTAAATCCTCACCCGCTCCACTCCCGACCCACCCAACCCATCTCAAATACATTCCCAACCACTCTCATTCCATGCCTCACTAACCAATGTGGCATGTGCTGCGTATGAGTTGAGCCAACATGAATGTTATTTCATTTACCCAAATGTTTTGCTACGTGCTGTTGAGAACATGATGAAAGGGTATATCGATTTCTATCAGAGACCGAAAGCAACTGCAGTTTTACAGTCACTGAAGACGTAAGAACGAATCAAAGTAAAGTCAACTAAAGTTACAACAGGATATGTCCTATTCACGGCACTTTGTGAATCTCCTCTCATATATATAAAGAGAGTATATCACAGTCGTTAACATCCGCGCTCGACAAGCTCTCATTTTTTTAGTGCTTTGCGGCTCAGGGCTTTTGTGAGCTGATGAATTGGTTTTGCGGTCTTCCAGTCAAATGAATTTGGCTCTGAGYTTGGATTTTACAYAGTATATTTTTAAATCATTTTTTCTKTAATATAATWTTWTATATATATTTATTTGAATTGGAATCTTTTGAACAAAACATAGAGAGAGTGAGAAAGAGATAGAACACACACGTGCATGCACATAAGAATTCATTAAGTTGCTCAGTTTACCAAACTAATTTCGTTCGAATGCTCAAATGCAAATGTATTTCGTGTGGTTTTTGGGTTTCCTTTTAAACGACATTCTGTAACCCGCTACCCGCTACCCGCTGACCAACAACAACAACAACAACAGCTGCACGATAAGGCAGTAAAGAACCGAAACACAAAGCTGATGTAAAATTAGTGCGCACAAATGTGTCCCAAGTGCGTGCGCCTTCCAGACGAGTGTGAGTGGCGTAATCATATTGCTGTTCCTGTCTCAACATCAGCACTAACAACAACAATAAGGACGACGGGGCGAAACGAAAAAAAGAAATGATATAACGGCACATTTGTAATTTGTTGGGCAACAATGAAGTCGGCGCTTTTGGGCGGCGCGCCTGCATAAAACACATAGCACTTACTCATCGGGTTGCGAGCGTTGCCTCCACAAGTCATTCCTATTCGCATGGCGCCTCTCGCCTGCATAATTTATGCGAAATCAGCGACGCAAACAACCTGCACACGAAGAAAGCGCAACTACCCACCACCCACTAACCCACCACACCACACCATCAATCCACCTCTCTCGCTCTCTCTCTCTCTCTTCATCAAACCCAACTAACAGCTGCCAACGGCGTCTGCACGTAAAATGCTTTATCCACGTTTCATTGTCGCCCACAAACAAAAAACGGGGAAAAAAACGCGAGCAACAAATTTACAAATTTGGAAAAAAAAAATGTTTAACGCTCGGATTTCATACCTGTCACAGAAACTGATGATAAAGAGGAGCTGGTAGCAGCGGCGGCAACGACAACAGCTCAAGCAGCCCAAGCGCCATCTTCAGAGCAAAAGCAAAACTTTGTCTTCACTTACGCGCTACCATGCACCCCTCTCCCCTGTGCCAATGTCTTCCACCTTCTCTTTGGTGTGCTTGCGGGGCTTATGGATAATCACCTTGAAAACAGAGCAGACTTTAAGCTGAGCGCCAAGCGTTGTTTTTATCGCACTTTTTGCTTTCACTTTCGTATGCTGCATGCGCCTTTTCTTTTCTTTTTTTTTTTTTTTTTTCTCTACATTTTGGCTCTGTGTTTATTTTTGCATAATTTTCTTTTATCCTTAGTCCAATGTATTTTTCATATTCTGCTTACCTGCTCTGGCCAGCACTTATTGCTACTCCTCCTGCTCCTGCTTCTACTTCTACATCTTCTTTTACTTCTGTTTGTTGTTGTCGCATTTTGAAACTGTCGTCTCGACAAATTTGTTTACTTATGTGCGTGTGTACGTATATGCATGCGGCACATAATGGCGCAAAGCCAACTTTCTAAGTGTGCTAGAGAGATGGAGATAGAGATTGAGAGTGGGCGAAGGAAATAGTGTGGGTGCGTTAGTAAGTTTAAAAATTTCTACTTTGAGCTTTCAATTTAATTCTCGCTCTTTATACGAAAAATTTGGTTCTTATAAAACATGGAAAACATTTTATTCAACTTCTCGGCTTAGATTATTTATTTATTTTTTTTAGTATTGGCCAAATTCAATGAGACCAAGTTAGCGCCCCTAAATGTATTCCTCATAAAAACAACAACAGTAAGTGAAACGGAAAACCGTTTGTAGCAAATTATATTATTGCCATAAAGAAAACAGAGAACGGAAAGCGAATCTTTTTACAAACTCGTTACGTTTTTTGTTCCCTCTTTTTTTTTGTTTCTTTCGGCACTTGGGAAGATGCCGCTTAAATGTTTACTTTACTTTATTTCTTGCAGTCTGTTTGTTGTTGTTGTTTATGCTTTCAAGGCAAATGAGTTTGAGCAGCACAACAAAGTTAAAAACTAACTTGCTGCTGTCCTGTAACGTCCTTAATGTGTTACGAAAATATCAAACGTAATGAGGGTCAAGCCATGTTTGGGCATTGGGCTGTGCGGCGTGGGTGTATGGCAAGCAGAAAAGGGGAACCTTTTTATTTGGACCAGCCCGACCAGCTGAGGCTTTTTGTTTGCCTTGCCCAAAGGCAAGCCACCAAAGAGTAAAAGTGGCCACAAAAGAAAACAAGCATTTTATGCACAACGCTGCACACTTTAACCTTTTAAGTCAAGAGTTTGAGCAGTCAAAATAGTTAATAATAAAAATAAAATTAAAAAAAAAAACAATGAGAAGTTCCTCTTAAGGGCATCTTATAACTAACATCTAAAAAAATTTTAAATATATTGATAAGCCTTTCTGCCTTAAAAGGCAGACAACAATTACCTCAATTATGCATATTTAAAAGTGGCGCTCAAGTCTCTTGTTATCGAAAAATTTCGATAAGCCGCCTTCGTAAACGCAAAATTAACAAAATAGGCACAAACTGCGCTACGTAAGGCAAATTTGCGTAAGTTAGCTTTGCGCAATTTGCTCACAGAACGTTAAGTTGGCGGCACGCAATTTAACACTCACGTTAAGTTGTCCGCTTTGCAAGTGACATTGGAATTTTGCTTTATGCCGATTTCGGTCGCACTGACGCGAATAAAAATAAACAAAAATAAATGTAAACAATTTGAGCGAATTCGAAAACCAAATTTTAATGTTTAGCTACACATTGCCTTGCGGGGGCTTTAGAACCCTAACTAAACTCACAGGGACGGGAATAAGCTTTGATCCACCTGTTTACGAGCAGCGCTACTGCGCGGCCATTCAGATTTTAGAAGATGCACGTTGGGTAAAGGAAATCAAAAAGGTCACCGAATTCGGGTACGTATTAGCTAAACACTTTTCACAACACATTATGGCAGACTATTAATGAATAACTATTTTTTATACACAGTTGCGCGGAGATGCGATTCTTCCAGCTGATGCGACGCATTGAAACTATCGAGAACATTTTGCAGGTATGTGATACGTATTAGACTAATAGCTTTTCGTTAAAGTTTACGTACATATTAATAGTGGTGGGAATTACAAACAAGTGATCTTTCCTGGGTAATTTTTAAGACATATAATTTCTATTTATTTTATTTATATACGCAGTTTAATTCCTAGCTTAGACCTAGTAATTATGATTTATGCAATAATAACCTTTCATCTAGTTTTATAGTAAATACTCTTTTTTTTTTTTTTGTTTTTCTTGTAAGGGGATTATCATTTAGGTAATATAACCGATATCCGGGTAAAAACTTAAACTGCGTAACTTAAAAAATTCTTTCAAATAAAAACTATGATTAAACAATAATTTGCTATCAAGGCCAATAACCTATATATATATATGTCTGTCTGTATTGTAACAATTTCTGCTTAAATTGATGTATAAAAAAGGAAAACAGCAAAAATTACATAAAACATTGTCTCTCTATTAATGTATAGTGCGGTGAACAACTTCAGTATATGAATAGACGACGTTGATCCGAATTGAAATTCATTCGCCCGTCCTTTTGATCATATTTTCTGCTCTGAACCTAACAATAAGTTTATTCTCTATAAAATACTTGAAAAACGCAGCATAACTGTTATTTTATATATATATGTATATGTATGTACTATAAGTATGTATSTATATGTAGTTTTTTGCCAGCTTCAGTTGTTTGTTGCCTTCTTTCTGCACTTGTTGCTTAACAGTTCGCTCTTCAATATCTAACGTATCGTATCGATAACGCGATAACTCGATAACTATCACTTGCGACAATGCCTGGACGAGGAGTTGACATTCCGCCCTTTGCCATAGCTGTTCTCATCATCGTATTGCCACACGCTATAAGCATCGTTCTGCATATTGTTATTTGTGGCATAGTTGTTCTCCACATCCGCTTCAGTCTTATATAGACAACGACGCGTCCGCCGCTGTTTGCCTGGATCGTCCGCCACAGCCACCGCCGCTGCCGCATTTCGACTCGACTTTAGCTTAACGGTTTGTTGTTGCACCTCACCGGTGGCGGATGCCATTGTCGCCGTCTGCTGCTGCTCCTTGCGAGTGGCGCAGCCACGTTTATTATTCCCACCCACCGTTGTCAGCGGTGTGCCAACAATTCTGTGTGCCTGCTGCTGCTGTTGAGTGTGGCCATTGATGTTCTTTGACTTGTTGCTGCTACGCTTGCGCGTTGTGCCTTTGCTCTTGCTCAGCTGCGGCAACTGTTGCCCCTGACTCGCTTTGCTGCTGCTGCTGTTYTTGCGCGGCTGACGACGTGCGCGACGCGTTTGCCTCGATTCCGTTGTACTTTCACTATCAACACTCTGCTGATCCACATCCATCTGTATCATTGAATCAGACATGAATTAGATTTTAAGCATACATATGTATTATATGGGAAGAAATACTTGCCTCTTCGAAATCACTTACTGCCTCTTGCTCGGCTTCTTCTTCGGCCTCTTCTTCATCCTCCTCATCCTCTTCCTCCTCCTCATCTTCTTCCTCTTCCTCCTCCTCTTCGGCTGTCTCTGCAGATTCACCTACCTGGTCGTCTGCCTCTTCACTGTTGTGCTCCTGCACGGTCAGCCCCCTCTCCCTTCTGCTCTGCTCCACCGCCAATATCGCATAGGTCGGCTTGCCCTCGTATCGCCTGGGCAGTCGCGAATGTAGCGGGCAGATGACTTCCTCACGCTCAAACTCCTTGACCGCACGCTCGCGTGCAATTTGATCGGGATCTTGCGATAACACCTCTGCCCAGGAGAATTTCAACTTTTTAGCATTCTTCTTGTTGGACTTGGAACGCAGATTCTTGGGTGATACACGATTCGTTAGCGAATGATCTTGGAATGGTGTGCTGAATGTGGAGTTACGCAGCTGGTTGAATGCGCTCTTGCTATTCAAGTCGAATATATCGCATTTGCCAATGCCATCCACCTCATCCTTGATTGAGATGCGCGTACTTTGGATGTCATGACTGCTCAATTGCATCTGGCTGCAATCGTAGCCCAGACGGCGATACTCCCGCTTAAAGATGTTGCGATAGCGCTCATAATTGGGTCGCTCCTGATAGGCCAGCTGTCCGATCTGCTGCAGGAATTCACCCAAATACTTAGGAACCTGTTTGCCATAGAATTGTCGCAGCATTTCGCACACATCCGTCATGAATAGCTCCTTGGCGCGATGCACCTTCTCCTGCTGCTGCTGCTGCGCCACATCCTTCCATGGCAAATAACCCTCTGACCAGTATAACAAATTATAGCCCAAGCATTCCAAATCGCTGCGACGCGAATGCGCGCCCAAATGTGCATCACGCGATGTGAACTCCAAGGTGCCGTCGTGGGCACGTCGCTGATCCATAATAAAGGGTCTGTGCACGCCACGATCCTGATACTTGGACGCCAGCCCGAAATCGATCAGGAATATGTGCTCTTCTTCCACCGGAACATGTTGATATTGCGTTACCGTGCGTTTACTTCGTACTCCTCCATTTCGCGGATTCTCTGTGATTTCCGCTTTGAGCTGTTTCTGCTTGGTTTCCCGTCGGCGGGTCACCATGCGATTGGAGGTGCGAGCGCGTGCACCACGTTTCGCCGCACTAGCGCCACCCGAACGTCGCGCAAACGCGGGCACAAATTCATCCGAATCATTATCCGAGCTCTCCGCCGACTGTTCACTCTTGGCATCCGCCTTCACTGGATATCCATCCTCGTTGAAGAGCTCCGAGTAGCTGACACGCTTGGCCGGGCGCAGATAATGTGACTTGACCATCTCCTCGTACATGGAACTAGAGTTGCAATTCTCATTGCGACGGCACGAGCGCATTGGATTCGAGCCACTGAATTCGACAGCATTCTGGCGCGGGCGTCGCTTATTTTTGTTCACTGGCGTCTGATATATATCTAGGCTATTGCTATTGTTGCTATTTGTGGTGGCGCCATCATCAAAATCCTCATCCTCATCCACATCGTCGACATCCTCCTTGATGCCAGCAATGCGTTTCAGCGCATATTTGTTCTCATTCTTTATAAAGTAGTCATCATCGTTGGTCTCCTGCTCCGAACTGTTGCCACTATCTGTTGTCTGCTGCTTCTCTTCGTAGTGCTCCTCATAGTTCGCTTTGCCGCCCGGCTGCACCGCCTGTCGCTTCAGATACTTGCACTTCGATATCATCAGATTCTGTGCCTTAATATCATTGTGACAATAGCCCTTATCATGCAAATGCTCCAGCACATTGATGATGTGTATAGCTAAGACTAAGAGCGATTTTTGTGCCACTCGCGCATTCTTGATCAGCGAATGCAAATCCCGATCGAAGCGCGGCAGCACCAGAAACCTGTAGCGTCCGTCTCCAAAGTAATGTGTGCCCGATGCAATATAGCTAGGAATACCAGAGGGCGGGCCATGACTAATGCGTGGTGGTAGCTTCTCTATAGCACACGCCTCGTTGCCATCTGTGACAGCTGTAAGAGGAGTAAATGGTTTCTCAATAAATGATATTTATTCATATATAATTTCACAACTTCTGCTACTTACACTCCGTCTGATTCGTATTGATGAGACAGTGTATTTCCACAAAGAGTGGTCCATTCGAGTGCGGCTCGATTTTGACCACATATTTGGCGCTCTCTGAGGTGACCGGACAAACAGTGTCATCTGATGCCAGAAATATTTCGCCAAAGTTGCCCTTGCCTATGATGAGTGGAATTCATAAATATGTTAATATAATGCCAATTGTATTAGTTCAGCCAATTTATGCACACCTATGGGACGTCCTAGACGCCAGGCTTTGGACAGTAAATCTCTCAATATGGTGCCATTGACTACAGAGGGACGTAGCGTATAAACTGGACGCGGCGATTCGGTTGTATTGGAATTATTGTGATCACTGTAGCCACCGCTGGCGAATGTGGCCAAGGATAACAGAGAGGCACGTGGATTGGATACTGGACACTGGTTGCGTGCTAGATGCTGCTGCTGTGGTGTTTGCAATAGTTCGACATTCGCCGAGCCCGATGAGGAGGAGTCCTCATCATCGTTCTCATGCCAATCGAATTGAGTTTTCTGATCATCGGTCAGGCGCTGACATTTCTCCACCCGGGAGGCTTTAACGGCTGAACGTTTGCGTTTCCGTGCACTGCGATCTGATGGCTGAGTTTTGGTCTCCGTTTGCGGGGACATTCGTTGTTGTTGATGGCTGCGCTCTGCTGCGATCCGTTTGCCCATGTTTTAAACAGGCGACAGTCGTTGGAGGAACGCTCCAATTTTTTCTAATTTGTCAAATTTCCCCCTCTCTAGTGGATTGATCGGTCGGTCAGATGACAGTTTTAGTCAGTCTCAAATTATCGCTGACGGGGCGCATAAAGGAACGTTGAATTTGAAATTGAGTTTTGTTTTGTTTTTGTGTATTCTCTTTTGTTAATCAGGTTTTGCTTTTACTGTTGACATTCGTGTTGGCTGTGTGGTAAGAAGAAGAGTGTCACTCAGCAGTTTATTTTCGGTTATGTTTTAACTGCCAGCACTAAACAACTAGCAAATCAATCAAACTAAACAATAATCCTATTAGTCATAGCTCTTGTTTAGTTTTTATTGTATTTTCTCTTCATTCTTTTCTATTTTTTGTTTTGCCACCACTAATTCAAGTTTTACGCTCTATTGTTTTGAATTTCGTTGTTGCGCCGGCACAATGTGAATGGAACGCCGTCGTTCGGAGCGGAATGGCAAAATTATGGGCACGGGGCACATGCATACCTATCTACATACATACATACAGCCAGGCATAGACACACATGCACACGCACTCACACTGTCATATACTTGCATATGTATTGTGTTCACACACGGAAAACAAATAATTTTAACAAATCTCTGATAATTCCCCTACGACAATTAATCACTATTGCTAAAAACTGCAAAAACACAATACATATATAATTATATACATAGATTGATGCGAATTTCACATTCATCGACAACGCACACAACACTTTTATCAAGCGACATGTCTGCGACGAAATGAATAAATAAGAGAGAGACGGCAGACAGAGTGGCTTGCTTGCATGGAAGGGAATATTGATTTAACTGGACCGCCGGCACAGGCCACAGCTGCTTTGCTAGATCATTTTATTTAATATTAAATATTTTTAATTTCTCACTTAAGCATACGCACACACAATTCATTGCCACTTGGCTAAACGTTTGTTTAATTTCCATTGGCCACTTTTCAGTATGTATTTCTTTCACGTATTACAAGTTTTCTTCTTCTTGTTTTCACGTTGTCTTCCCCATAAAATGCAATGCCAGAAAAATTTTCACTACGCGTTTCGCGGACATACAATTGGTGCTTACACTATTGCATTTTTTTGTTTTATTACACATTCGCTCAATTTTTAACAATTGAATAGATTTATTTAGATACTCAATTGATTTTCACAACAAATTACATATTCTTCGTGCACTGCTACCCGTGCCTCGGAACACTCACAAACACACACACGGACGTACTCAAAAGTGACAAGCCAATGTTTCATTACCAATTTGTTTCGCCATTTTGCTTCGACTCGTTTCTATTCAAAGTGCTGCCAGACTGTTGTAATTTTTATTTTGCTGTGAAACAATTGACCATTCGCCCAGACGGGTAGATTCAAAAACATATTTAAATTTATTTGCCTAACGTCTATATTCACAGGTGGACATTGATCATGATACCTTAAAAGCGCATTTAAGTCGCACAAATCCATTGGTTAGTGATTATATGAAGCAAAGGGTAGCACCTTTGAGAGTACAAGTGCTGCTTGGCAGCGTTGCAGATGCATCGGAAGAACTCAGGAACACAGACGCGGTCATAGCATTAGAACTGTAAGGTTTAATGAAATTAAAATGTATAATTTATATATATATTTCACATTATTATATTTTTCAGCATTGAGCATGTCTATGAGGATGTGCTGGCTAAGATACCTGTGAATATTTTTGGTTTTATGCAGCCAAAAATTGTGATTTTCAGCACTCCCAATGCTGACTTTAATACAATTTTCACGCGCTTTAACCCGTTGCTGCCAAATGGATTTCGTCATCATGATCACAAATTTGAATGGACTAGGGAGGAGTTCAAGTCTTGGTGCTTAGGCATAACTGAGAAGTATACAAATTATATGTTCTCGCTGCTTGGCGTGGGTGATCCGCCCGAAGGCGAAGAAGCTGTGGGTCACGTTTCCCAAATAGCCCTGTTTGTTCGCAAGGATATCTTGGGTCTGCCCTTGGCAGAGCCACTAGAACGACAACCTACTCCGGATAGTATTATGTCCGCCTATAAAACATTACATGTTGTTGATTTTCCATTTTATAAGGATAATCGCACGCCAGAGGAAAAAATCTGGACCGAAGTTGAAAATCAGCTATATCAATGTACCAAAGATGACGATAATTATGATACTGAGCGATACGCTTATAAACTGTCCTTAGATGAGCTAACGCGCCGTTTGTCATATCTGGGCGCAACGCGTGAGCTATTGGCGAAATTATTGGAACAGCATAAGAAAATAGTTGAAAATGATTTTGTATTGATTGAGGAGAATGATGGAGAGGAAAGCAGCGATTGGGCGGATCCAGTTTATGAGCAGAACGAAGGGAACGAGGTAATGCAACCGAACAAAGAGGATGAAAATTGGGATGTGTGAAACCAATATATATATATGTATGGTATATGTATAGTAAATATTATGTTGATACAGCTTCTGTGAAGCTCTGTTTGAAAGGGCAAACTAAATGTGACTTGACAAAATATCTGAATGTACGACTATATAATAAATAATATATAACAAGTTTATATAATGAACAAAAGTTTTTTTTATGTTGTCTTAGCTGTGCTTAGATAAATATATCTACATATTTATAGATATATTTACATATGCTATATACCCAATATCAATTTTCTAATTTTAACTTTCCCTTTTGTTTGCCAATTAGCCAAAACCAATAAACTCCTTTCGACTACTTCAAAATCTCACATATGTGTAGAATAGAAGTGATATATAGTATCTGTGGAGTTATATAACACACGCATACTCCACAGACTAAGTGCTGCAGCCGCAGCCGCAGCAGCGCATAAATCAAATAGGACAATTCCGTTGAAGGACTCGCTCTCTTTTGCCCCAGGGGGTTGTTTTGGGTCAAAACTATTCAATTTTCGCAGCGAATGCAGACTCCTGCTCCAGCCACACACCCGCTAAGCTGTGCAACTTGGATAACCAATATACATATAGATATACGTATATATATATATATATATTTTTTTTTTTGGCTATTCGACTCCAGAAAGATGATGACGATGACGAGGCATCCGTTTCGTCTAGCTTGGCACCCTTCGTTGCACGGAAATTGCTTTTGTTTGGCAACTAGAGGGTGGCTAACAGACAGGGCGACATTAAATATACTAACAAATATACAGATACATGTGTGTGTGCATGTGCGTGTGTATTGTATGTGTGTCTTGCAGCAAAGTTAATGGAGTTGACGTCGAGTCAGTTGCAAGTGAAACGAGCTACAGAACAGGCAACAGCACAACAAATTGCCATAGCAGCTACCTTTACCTGGCGTGCCAACAAATTCATAAACATTCACTCATTCACAATAACATTCATTCACATACTYGCCCTCTCTCTCTCACACACACACACTGTCTCTCTCGCTCTGTATAGAGGTAATACTACCTTGAATTCCATGTCACATATAAATCGGAATTTAACTCAATTTTTATTACATTATTCGTTAGCTGTGTGAGTGCATGAGACTGTGTGAGTGTGTGTGTGTGCTTGCGCGGTTTTCGCGTGTCCTCAAATATATTTATATATATATGTATATATATATATACCTGCATCTTAGTCGGTTATATAGGTAACATTTATAGTCGCATAGCTTAGTTACTATTAAGCGTCAGCTTCGACATGGCCGAAGAGGAAGGCGCCAAGGAGGGCGATAAGAAAATCGTGCACATCTATCCGCTCGTCAAGGTTGGTCTCTCCCTCAAGCCAACTCTCAAATACTCTAACTTTATATCCTTTATCCACATAGCACTCGGATATGAAGGAGGAAATGCGTCACGAGGTCGTCGAGTTGGTCGTTGGCATGTGCGAGAAATTCTCTTCCAATTATGAGGTGAGTTCCATGAAAGGACGATACGGTGAATACCCTGTAATTGCTGGTTATTCCAAGTGTGCTATAGTTGCTATATGAAGTATTATTATCTATTACTAAATGCAAGAAAATCTTTTAGAAGTTAACTTAACTCTTATGTCTGTGTCTCGAACGAAGTTTTGGGAAGAGCAAGTCCATTTATAGTACAGCTATACTAGGGTCTATATCTAATATATATATATGGTATATTACTATATCAGTTATTATATATTATGGTTAGATATAGCTCAAAGTCTGTTGACTATTAGAAGCAACGTGTTGCTTCCCATTTAAGACTTTGATTTAGATAGAAATGTTAAAAAATACTCTTTCGTCAGATTCTTCTTAATTGACTACAATATAGTACTCCGATAGATAGATAGATAGATCGCTTGACAACTAAGAGAGTTATAAGCATATAAACAAAACTATGACTCTATTGGTCCTTATCTAATATTTCATCATTCACAGATCTTACATATAATATATATATCTTATCTCGATCTTAAACAAAAACCTCTATCTCCTACACAGACATGTGCCAGAATGATTAAGGACACCATGGACAAGAAATTCGGCATCTATTGGCATGTGGTGGTCGGCGAGGGGTTTGGCTTTGAGGTGTCCTACGAGACTGAGAACATACTCTATATTTTCTTTGGCGGCAATATGGCCATTGTGCTGTGGAAGTGCTCCTAAATGGAGTAGCTCAGGCAGACCAACCGACGTACCTAGAAAACTACAAATATAAATGGAAATTCTTGTATTCCCTCAAGCAGCATATTATTGATGTATGTGTGCTTCTATAGCATATATTATATATAGTTAATGTTATGTATTAAGTTAAACCCATATGTAAATAGGGCCAGAAGTTAGGGGAGTGTGCTTATTCATTGCCATAGCAACGGGAGYAAAAGAGACAACAAATATAAATATTAATAAAAAAGTTGGTTAATTTGCAAACATTAATTTGAAGGCTTTTCTTTCTCTTTTTTCTTTTCTCGTTTAGTCACAAAAATTGTCTTATAAAAATGTGTTTTGTATGCGCTTAAAATAGATTTTTCGATTTCAGAATTTTACAATTGCTTTAGGCATAGACATCCTCCCGATCAGCGCCGGCACCATCGCCGCCATCCTCCAGATTGGAGAAGAGCAGGAAATGCGATGTGCGATGCAGTTCGTGATAGAACTCCTTCGGGTTGGCCAATTGCAGTTCGTATTTCATATTCGGATCGTGTCGCACGCCCATGAAGTTGTAGTTCCAACTGCTCTGCGCCGGCACCATGAAGAATCCGAGGAACTTATTGGACAGCAGCATTTGAACGCGTTCGTAGTGCGATGGCAGATATCCCTTGGGATTATTGCCCTTGTCCGTGTTCTTGGAGCCCCATTCGAAGCCGGACGGTGTCAGCTTGTAGGCCGTCAGGGAGCAGGAGCCGGGCGTGAAGGAGCAGGTAATGACAATTGTCTTCTCGCCATCCCAATTGGAGTTCTCCTGCATGATCTTGGCATGGGTGGTGATGTCCTGCGGCGACAACTGCGGCAGTTCATTCGGTTGCGTGTGAATCCAGCCAAGTGGCTCCATGTCCTTCAGATACTGATGCGTGGGCAGGGCATTCGGCAAATTGATCGTCTGATGTGTGCCCCACTGCGGCGGCATCACAATGCAGCGTATCTCCTTCACCTGCGGATTATCCGGCGGACTCACACCGTACAAATAGCCAGCGATCTGTGCACGCAAATCGGATATCGTGACGAACTTCTTCAATATATTCTTTGGCAAAATATACGTATAGCCCGTTTCCTTGATATCGTCAGAGCTGACATAGATGTGATTCGTACGCAAGTGCAGATTCGTTGCGGATATCGCACGCACGCGCCATTCGGTCTTCGAGCTAAACGTTTGCGTCTCATAGTTCGAGGTGGTTGACGTGATAATCTCATCTCCGTGCTTGTTCGTTGTGCGCGTCGTGGTGGCCGTCAATTGATTCTGTTCCTTGGTCTGTTTCTCGATCTCGGCTATCTGTTGACGCTGTGCGGACGGTGCACTGATCTCCATGCCCAGAATGATGTCACGAATCTCGGACTGTGTCAGCGAGGCAACGTTCACGTTGTTCTTCTTGCCATAATCGGCCAGAATGAGATCCTTCAGCTGCACCTCCACCTTGATCCATTCCTCGTCCGTTAGCGTGGGCCAAATGTGATGCGCCTCCGTTATGGTTGTCTTATCCGGCTTCAGTATGATCTTCGTCCGTTCCGTATTCACGTGCAGGGCGCGCAGTATCAATATCAAACGACTGAATGCCGTATATGAAGATATCGTCTTTAGCCAGTCATCGTACAGATTGAACAACACCATTTGTGGCTCGGTGGCTTTCAGAATCAAGTCACCAAACTTCTCCACCTTGAGGCAGGCCTGGAAGGGCAGCTGCAACTCCGAGCCCTTGATGACAATGTTGGGGAAGTCAAGTAAATGCACCTCAAGCGGATCCAACATGCCTTTGCGTGTGACAATAATCTGCTTCGGCTGCTCCTCAACGGGCAGCGAACGAATCAGGGCAGCAACTTCCTCGGCCGTCTTCCATTTGGCCAGCTGGCCCAAACGCTTCTGACCCGCCCACACGGACGTGTGGATGATCTTCAGGAACAGCTGTCCAGTACGTGGATTGAAGATGAAGATGGCGCCATTGATGGGTTTCGTGGTCAAATTACCCTCAAAGGTCTTGTGGATGGTGACGCGATAGACATTCGTATCGTCCACAAACCAAATGATTTGATTCGAGAAGAGCTCGCCATAATTCTGTGAGCTAAGGTACGGCTCCGTGGGCTCCGATGAGTACAGTTGCAAGGCCTTGCGTATACGCTCGCGCAGCACATAAAGCGCCGGATTGGCCTTCATGATCTTGGCCATGGCCTGTTGGATCAGAGTCTTGCAGCCCGGGAACCAATTGCCGTAGGCCGAATGCAAATTGTAAGCCAAATCGATGGCAATGAGCACGCCCGTCGGCGACGGATAAATGGACATGTTATCCGTGGTGTAGTCCAGGAACTTTGCCCTTGCATAACGCTCCACGTCGTGCGAATCGTAATCACCCCAACGCAGCTGTATATCCAGCCAATATTTCTGTGTTGTTGTATTGTCCATGGTGTCCTTGGTGTCTGCTAGCAGCGATGGTCGGGACACGTTCCATTTGTAGGCAGGGAACAGCAGTATGTCGGCACATGAGGAATTCATTTTATATGATTTACGCGGATGTATCGTCTCCTTTTGCACCGTCTCAATCTCAAGGGCGTCCAGCTCCTGATCGAACACTTGACACAAATCCATGACAATCGATTCGTGTATCTTTTGCCACAAGTGAGCACGGAAGATTTGAATCAGCGAGATTTTCAGTGTGGGAATTTTGCCGTGCATGAAAATGCCCGTCAGATCCAGCTGCACCTGGAAACCGACGTAAACGTTGGCACGATTGATAGTCGGTGACCACCATAGCGTGAACCGACGATTGGGTATCTGATTAAGACCAGAGCGCTGAGCATTTGTCAGCTTCTTGTACTTCATGGACTCCTCAAAGCCGGATGCCTTCTCCCAGAACAGACCCTCCCACGTTGGGAAGTAGGTGCCCTTGAATAGCGTATGCTCCAAGATGCCTTCCACACCGCCCAGCGCTTGGATCATGTCTGTGCGATAGTTGTTCAGATTCCACAATTTGCCATCGTGTCGCTGATGCGTCCACCAGAAGGGATTCTGCTTGAGAACCTGATACTGTTTGAACTCAGTGCGAATGCGCCAGCCCTTGTCGTAAGCCAGCGTGTGACGATCCTTCTGGAAGAGCGTATTGATACGCGGTATACCACGATCCCAGCTATCCTCCAGATCCTCCAGCGTCAGGCGACGATTCTGTGCATTTGCTTCCTGTCTCTTCAGCGCATACTCAGCCCAAACACGCTGCGAGTCAATGAATTCACTCTCCCACGGCTGTATATAACGATACAGATTTGGTATAAGCTGATCCTCGTCATGCGACATGCCTGTTAAGAATTTGCCAGTTAGCGAAGAAATGGATAAGTTATATTGCCTCACTTACCGGAGCGGAAATGCGTAATGCCCACGTCGGTCTGCTTGGACCAGCGCAGATCTGATTGCGGTATCAGCACGTGACCCATGCTCAACATGCCCAAGCCGCCCAGCTCCTTGGGCGTATAGAACACCACGGGCGGGAAACGCGAAGGCATTTTGGAATTCAAGCCAATCTTAATACGCGTTTGTATCTTATTTTCACACTTAACCAGCAAATCGAGCAGCTCCTGCGTATTCACAACCGCCTCGCGGAAATAGGTCATTAGACCAATTAAAGCCGTGTTCCATTTGTTGACAATCTGCCAAGATTAAATTTAAATTAAACATTTGCTTTAATCAGCTCTAATTGAACTCACCTTTGTGAATGTGGTGGAGCCGGAGGCCATTAAAATTTGTCGCACACGATTATGGAAACGTCCCAGCGACTCATCATCGACGCGCAGGAAACACTGAGCCGTGCGCTCCTTTGTTATCTCATTCTGCAAATTCCAAACGCCATCACGATGCGTAAACTCCTCATTTTGCGTGCGACACTAAAGAGTAAACATGAGAAATAAAACAAATTATTAACTGATCTTAAAGGGAATTGGGAAGGAAAAGGAACCTTTGGCAGAATGCGACACTCGAAGCCGCTCATGTTGAATAGCAGATTGGGATTATCCTTGGAATAGACTGAGACGAAAGTGCTCTCCCAGCCAATGGTAGTTACAGAGCGAGGCAAACGGTTCTTGATGTCCCAAAACACAGCGCGACCCCTAGACAGAAAAAAAAGCAAACATTAGCAGACAATACCGCCAAGGATTGCCAAGCTAAACCTACAAATTAACATCGTGCTTCATCAAACGCATTCTCGCATCGCGTGGCCAGCATTTTTTGTTATTATAGCCCACGATATTCTCATTATTCGGATCTGGATGTTCGGTCAGATAACGCTGAATAAGGTCGCGCGCTTCCTCAGCCGAAAATCTGAAGAACAAATGTATACGATCCACGTAGCGACAGTAAAGTCGGATGGGATGCGCTGTTTCTGTAACTGCATCCTGGAATGTTAGGAAGTCGTTGGGCATTTGAGGTGGTCCGGCCATTTCGCTGGAGCGATGCAGACCCAGCACCAACAGATCCAAAACAAGTCCATAGTACTGTGTGATGAACGAAGAGAATTGTAAGCCGCGTATAATGCCATAACTGTTCGTATGATTCATGTCCTTGTAGTTAATAACGACGTTGTTCTTGGCTGTCATATAATCGGCGATATTGTGATCCACAATGAGACGCAGCAGACGATTGAGCAAAGTCAAATCAATCTTCTCGTAAAGCTTCTCAAAGCGTGATTCGAGCAGCACGTTGCATTCGCCCTCACCGACGTCCCAGACATCCTGCAAATTGTTGATGCCTGCGGAGAGAAAGGTAGTATTAGAGCTTGACTTCTAGATTTGTAGATCTCATTAAGTTTAATCGAATATCTTTCAATTGCTGCTGCTATGCGTCACCTTCAGCGTGAGGTTTGCAACAAGGGGATGGAATCATAGCTCATCACTTTGCCACAAATCACACGACCAAAATGCGCAAATATACATGATAGATAACACTCCGAATAGTCTTTATCCAATATGAAAGGATCTGCTCTACCTTGACACCATTTGTAGGCTAATAGCGGTGGAGGCTCCGTGTCGCTGGGCTTGATCCATGGCGGGAATAGTCTACGCTTGTCTGCCTCATACCACAGATACTGATCCAAATAGGCGTCGGTGATCTTCTCCAAAGGCTCCACTTCGTAAACAGGTATTAAGTGGCTGTACAGGTCCATGAATTCAATTCCCACCTGCAAAGAGAAATGGACTAATAAACAACT